CCTATCCTGTGGGTGGTAGTCACCCCATACCCATCCTGTGGGTGGTAGTGACCCCATACCCATCCTGTGGGTGGTAGTCACACCATACCCATCCTGTGGGTGGTATTCACCCCGTACCTATCCTGTGGGTGGTAGTCACCCCATACCCATCCTGTGGGTGGTAGTCACCCCATACCTATCCTGTGGGTGGTAGTCACCCCGTACCTATTCTGTGGGTGGTAGTCACCCCGTACCTATCCTGTGGGCGGTAGTCACCCCATACCTATCCTGTGGGTGGTAGTCACCCCGTACCTATTCTGTGGGTGGTAGTCACCCCGTACCTATCCTGTGGGTGGTAGTCACCCAGTACCTATCCTGTGGGTGGTAGTCACCCCGTACCTATTCTGTGGGTGGTAGTCACCCCGTACCTATCCTGTGGGTGGTAGTCACCCCGTACCTATCCTGTGGGTGGTAGTCACCCCGTACCTATTCTGTGGGTGGTAGTCACCCCGTACCTATCCTGTGGGTGGTAGTCACCCCGTACCTATCCTGTGGGTGGTAGTCACCCCGTACCTATCCTGTGGGTGGTAGTCACCCAGTACCTATCCTGTGGGTGGTAGTCACCCAGTACCTATCCTGTGGGTGGTAGTGACCCAGTACCTATCCTGTGGGTGGTAGTCACCCAGTACCTATCCTGTGGGTGGTAGTCACCCAGTACCTATCCTGTGGGTGGTAGTCACCCAGTACCTATCCTGTGGGTGGTAGTCACCCCATACCCATCCTGTGGGTGGTAGTCACCCCGTACCTATTCTGTGGGTGGTAGTCACCCCGTACCTATCCTGTGGGTGGTAGTCACCCCGTACCTATTCTGTGGGTGGTAGTCACCCCATACCCATCCTGTGGATGGTAGTCACCCCGTACCTATTCTGTGGGTGGTAGTCACCCCGTACCTATTCTGTGGGTGGTAGTCACCCCATACCTATTCTGTGGATGGTAGTCACCCCGTACCTATTCTGTGGGTGGTAGTCACCCCGTACCTATTCTGTGGGTGGTAGTCACCCCATACCTATTCTGTGGGTGGTAGTCACCCCGTACCTATCCTGTGGATGGTAGTCACCCCGTACCTATCCTGTGGGTGGTAGTCACCCCGTACCTATCCTGTGGGTGGTAGTCACCCCGTACCTATCCTGTGGGTGGTAGTCACTCCATTCCCATCCTGTGGGTGGTAGTCACCCCGTACCTATCCTGTGGGTGGTAGTCACCCCGTACCTATCCTGTGGGTGGTAGTCACCCCATACCTATCCTGTGGGTGGTAGTCACCCCATACCCATCCTGTGGATGGTAGTCACACCATACCTATTCTGTGGGTGGTAGTCACCCCATACCTATCCTGTGGGTGGTAGTCACCCCGTACCTATCCTGTGGGTGGTAGTCACTCCATTCCCATCCTGTGGGTGGTAGTCACCCCGTACCTATCCTGTGGGTGGTAGTCACCCCGTACCTATCCTGTGGGTGGTAGTCACCCCATACCTATCCTGTGGGTGGTAGTCACCCCATACCCATCCTGTGGATGGTAGTCACACCATACCTATTCTGTGGGTGGTAGTCACCCCATACCTATCCTGTGGGTGGTAGTCACCCCGTACCTATCCTGTGGATGGTAGTCACCCCATACCCATCCTGTGGATGGTAGTCACCCCATACCCATCCTGTGGATGGTAGTCACCCCATACCTATCCTGTGGGTGGTAGTCACCCCGTACCTATCCTGTGGATGGTAGTCACCCCATACCTATTCTGTGGGTGGTAGTCACCCCATACCTATCTGTGGGTGGTAGTCACCCCATACCCATCCTGTGGGTGGTAGTCACCCCGTACCTATTCTGTGGGTGGTAGTCACCCCATACCTATCCTGTGGGTGGTAGTCACCCCGTACCCATCCTGTGGGTGGTAGTCACCCCATACCCATCCTGTGGGTGGTAGTCACCCCGTACCCATCCTGTGGGTGGTAGTCACCCCATACCCATCCTGTGGGTGGTAGTCACCCCGTACCCATCCTGTGGATGGTAGTCACCCCATACCCATCCTGTGGGTGGTAGTCACCCCGTACCCATCCTGTGGGTGGTAGTCACCCCATACCCATCCTGTGGGTGGTAGTCACCCCGTACCTATCCTGTGGATGGTAGTCACCCCATACCCATCCTGTGGGTGGTAGTCACCCCGTACCTATCCTGTGGGTGGTAGTCACCCCGTACCCATCCTGTGGATGGTAGTCACCCCGTACCCATCCTGTGGGTGGTAGTCACCCCATACCCATCCTGTGGGTGGTAGTCACCCCGTACCTATCCTGTGGGTGGTAGTCACCCCGTACCCATCCTGTGGGTGGTAGTCACCCCATACCCATCCTGTGGGTGGTAGTCACCCCGTACCTATCCTGTGGGTGGTAGTTACCGCGTACCCATCCTGTGGGTGGTAGTCACCCCATACCCATCCTGTGGGTGGTAGTCACCCCGTACCCATCCTGTGGGTGGTAGTCACCCCATACCCATCCTGTGGGTGGTAGTCACCCCGTACCTATCCTGTGGGTGGTAGTCACCCCGTACCCATCCTGTGGATGGTAGTCACCCCATACCCATCCTGTGGATGGTAGTCACCCCGTACCTATTCTGTGGGTGGTAGTCACCCCATACCTATCCTGTGGGTGGTAGTCACCCCATACCCATCCTGTGGATGGTAGTCACCCCGTACCTATCCTGTGGGTGGTAGTCACCCAATACCCATCCTGTGGATGGTAGTCACCCCGTACCTATCCTGTGGGTGGTAGTCACCCCATACCTATCCTGTGGGTGGTAGTCACCCCGTACCTATCCTGTGGATGGTAGTCACCCCGTACCTATCCTGTGGGTGGTTGTCACCCCGTACCCATCCTGTGGATGGTAGTCACCCCATACCCATCCTGTGGATGGTAGTCACCCCATACCCATCCTGTGGATGGTAGTCACCCCGTACCTATTCTGTGGGTGGTAGTCACTCCATACCTATCCTGTGGGTGGTAGTCACCCCATACCCATCCTGTGGATGGTAGTCACCCCGTACCTATCCTGTGGGTAGTAGTCACCCCATACCCATCCTGTGGGTAGTAGTCACCCCATACCCATCCTGTGGATGGTAGTCACCCCGTACCTATCCTGTGGGTGGTAGTCACCCCATACCTATCCTGTGGGTGGTAGTCACCCCGTACCTATCCTGTGGGTGGTAGTCACCCCGTACCTATCCTGTGGGTGGTAGTCACCCCATACCTATCCTGTGGGTGGTAGTCACCCCGTACCTATCCTGTGGGTGGTAGTCACCCCATACCTATCCTGTGGGTGGTAGTCACCCCGTACCTATTCTGTGGGTGGTAGTCACCCCATATCTATCCTGTGGGTGGTAGTCACCCCATACCTATCCTGTGGGTGGTAGTCACCCCATACCTATCCTGTGGGTGGGAGTCACCCCATACCTATCCTGTGGGTGGTAGTCACCCCATACCTATCCTGTGGGTGGTAGTCACCCCATACCCATCCTGTGGGTGGTAGTCACCCCATGCCCATCCTGTGGGTGGTAGTCACCCCATACCTATCCTGTGGGTGGTAGTCATCCCATATCCATCCTGTGGGCGGTAGTCACCCCATACCCATCCTGTGGGCGGTAGTCACCCCATACCCATCCTGTGGGTGGTAGTCACCCCATTACCATCCTGTGGGTGGTAGTCACCCCATACCCATCCTGTGGGTGGTAGTCACCCCATACCCATCCTGTGGGTGGTAGTCACCCCATACCCATCCTGTGGGCGGTAGTCACCCCATACCCATCCTGTGGGCGGTAGTCACCCCATACCCATCCTGTGGGTGGTAGTCACCCCATACCCATCCTGTGGGCGGTAGTCACCCCATACCCATCCTGTGGGCGGTAGTCACCCCATACCCATCCTGTGGTCGGTAGTCACCCCATACCCATCCTGTGGTCGGTAGTCACCCCATACCCATCCTGTGGGCGGTAGTCGCCCCATACCCATCCTGTGGGCGGTAGTCACCCCATACCCATCCTGTGGGCGGTAGTCACCCCATACCCATCCTGTGGGCGGTAGTCACCCCATACCCATCCTGTGGGCGGTAGTCAAAAGATTGCAGAGGTGAAATTAAGACACTTGTGCAACATCTGGGTATCCTTATTGTAGACGTTTCG